ATATAAATTAAAAGATTCTCTATCTTCAGCGTGCCACTTTCTTTACCTTCTGAGCTTCCAACATTCGATAATGCAGTTGCATAATTTTTATACCAAATTGTTAAGTAAACATATCTTCGTCGATTATTGATCAATTGAAAAACAGTAAATTTACTACAATTACATGTGATGTAACATTTACAAATTTACGAGCTTGAATTTACCAACGTATGCTTTTGTACAGCGTTCTCGTCATTATCAATCCATACGTTACTCTATGTTGGTAAAAGCAATTTGTTGACCTGTTTTAAATAAGAATAAATTTTTAACTAAATTTATATTCCTGTTCCAATGAGCATCTCCAATTATTCCAATTAATCAAATATGTTATTTATCCTACGATTATTAAATTAAATTACCATTTTATTCCTTATTTAGACTGTTTCAATACTATAATGTACATATTTCAATTAAAATTGGAAACGGCATCGTTCCAATTAACCTTTAAATTATTTATAATTTTGAAATGCTCTTCGTAAACAAATAAACCGATATGTTGAAAGCCAAGGTTTCTGCATTCAGTTATCATTGGTCCATTCTCGTTTCAACAAATTGACATTTGTATTAGATATCGTTAGCAATAAATACAACTAGGACGGAATAATTACTTATTTATTATTAGTTCGACAAATTGTCCTTGATAACGTATCTATCGACGCAGACTATAATATTAACTCCATTTGACCCTTTGTATACGCAAAGTCCAAACTACAGACAAAGTTCAAACAGTTGATCTTCACAAATAAAACCTCATGCACACATTGCTGGCCAATTGTTTCTGATACAATGATTTGCAAATTACTATGATTTGTTAACTAAGGTAACATTTAAACGTTGAGAAAACTACTTCGTAACAAAACTGAGAATCATATTTATATCATTGTAATTATACAAATAACTTTTTTCATGAAAAAAGCATATTTGAAAAACAATAGACGACAAACAATTCAGAAAAAAAAATTTCCGTAAAAAGTAAATCACACCTTAAAACTTGTTGAATTAAGATGAAATTTCAACTGCGCTATTAGCTCAGTTGGTTAAAGCGTCGTGCTAGCAACGCGACGGTCGCGAGTTCGATAACCCTTCACGTTAAAAAATTTTTTTCTAACTGTATCGTTCATTTTCACCTAGAACTATACATTTAAGAATATGCGTATAATCTACCTATCTTATCTATGTCATTATTCCGTCGATATTCGTGAATAATTGACAGACAAAGGAATGAAAATGTAATACTCCAAGTTCAATGTAATCAGCACTCATCGAACCTATCCAGAATCTTCCTTCTAATTCAATAACCAACGATCCTTATCAAACACGCTAAAGACACGCGTGTAGCCAATTAAACCAACTATTGTATCATCGTTATTACAACGATAAGATAAGCATAGAAATGTCTGGAAAAGCCGAAAACATCGATCAAACAGTATCAAAACAGTCTGTAATAAAAACGTTCGTCTAATCTCTATCTGTTAATCTTAATTCCACTAAACCAACGAAGAAACGCTCTTGTGTTACTCTCCGTGAGATAAAACATAGCGATAAAAATGAGCGGAGGAAGATTTTTGGACTCTGTACGTTGAAGTCGGTCATTCACAAAACATGCGTGACAAAAACTCATCGCGAGCACACATGTTCTCGAAGGTCCTTCTTTCAATTTTCAATGTGTTGTTTCGGCAATTGGATCGAACGCGGTTTAACTGCGTCACACATGTCCCTCGTCGATTGCAAAAACGTTGCAATATATGCGGCAAAATATATATATATACATATTTCGACGATGAGACATCGTAACTTCCCATGGTTCAGGGATGTATACCCTGCGGTACGTCACCCTTCTCTTCACCAGAAGAAAAAGGGTGGCGAGCGTTGTGCGCCTGCCCCTGCTCAGATGCATATATACAGATTCGCATGCAGCTAAAGGGGCATTATACCACCACGTTCCTGGAACTTATCGATCTGGCCGCAAGCTGTGCTTTCTTTGGTTAACGCCGACGTCACGGACGGCAGCTGATAGGCAGAATTCAACTGTGGACGGTCCTCATTGGTCGGCGAGTCGGTATAAACGGTGCTTTCACGGTAACCTGTTCCAGTTGTGTTGTTATCCACTCACTGTACACTTGGTAAGTACATTTCGTCCGGATCCCAAATATTTACCATTTGTTTTTCTCTTTCGATATTTCGACAAAAATGTTGATTAATTCTCTAATCGTTCGATAAATTGAACGTCCGTTTGTTTTCCAAATTCGGTTCTAATCTTCCTCGCGAATACTTTGAAATCGTGCATAGAATTGAGGTATCCCATTTCCGTTAGTCCGTGAATTCTCAAGGTTCACTTATCCCTGGCAGATGAATATTCAAGGCAATATCGACGCGGCAATGTCACCTTTCGTCATTCCTAAATAATCAACGGTAATGACCAAGTAATCGATGCTGACGAACCGTTTCCACGAGCTGACAGTCGCGAAATTACACCGTTTGCATAATACAGTAATTTCGATTTTCAAGAACGTCTTTTCGTTCGACTTGTACCCGCTCGAACGGTTCTCAATTTGAAAGAACGAGAATTTCAACATAACAGAAAAGAAAACATGGCCGATACATTGCGCCTGCAGTCTGTTGCTGCAATGCATATGCGCGAATATGTAGTCGAAGCCGGCTACATCGATTTGTCAAACTCCCGGTGTATTTCCACGAAAAGTTGGCCAGAATTTTCGTCGTTCGGGGAATTTACTTCCCGGTAAAGAAATTACACGTGATCGTTGAGAGATTTTACGTAACTTTCGATATACAATTTCTATCTCGACGTTTATTTATACAACAGAGGTGACATTTTCCACGAGAAAAAAATATATATCAAGGTAATCGAATCGATTTCTTTTTCTCCCCGTGTATCGTGTTCGTGTTTCGTAATACTAACTGCGTATAAACCAGTATGTGTGTGTGTGTGTGAACGAAGGATTGGTATGTCGCTACCGCGTTCGCGTCGAGGATAATCAATATATACTCGCACCTTTCCAGCAGCCGTATCCTCGTGCGCAAGGATATTACAGGACTCCGTCTGTTCGAGGCTCGACAGGGATACCGTATTCGAGATATCTTGTTTACATTCTCTTTACAGTGACTCTTTCATAAACGAACCACCTCTGACGGTACGGTGACATTTTTTTTTTCTATATCGTGAACTAGAAAAGAGAGAAATCTCAAAGGAAATTATTAAAAAGTTTTATTATTTTAATTTTAACTTGTGCTTGTCCGCGAATGTTCTGGAAAATTAAAACACACTGTATATATCTGGTACATATATGCCCATGGTATATGAGTAATACGAATGCAGCAATGGGTGCAGGCGCATGGCCGAAGTTTATTATCGATCGCATTGTTTGCAAGTGCCTTCTTCCATGGTCTTTCTACACAGCAGACCGCGCCGATGGAGAAATCGTCGGGCAGCGTGTGGAAGGAATTGAACTTTATAATAGAAATCGGTGAACGAAGGTTACAGCAACCGGTTCTCAATGTTTACCATACATCCATCTCCGTGGAAATTCGTTGAAATTTATACGGGACGTGTGAACGGATAAAGTCGGTGAAACAATATTTACATCTCATCGAGATCGGACGTTTATTAATAACCCAACGGATTAAAGGTATCGGCGAAACGAAACGTCGATAATAGATTCGATTGGACGTTGAGCTCCTTCGTTTCGCGCACAATGAAACTCGAATTCCGTGTAATCGGACAACAAACGGAACCGGATCCGAATTAAATCACGTGTCGGACTTCGGTCGCTTCGGCGAACGGTATTTTTCCTATTTTTTTTTCTTCGCCTGAAAAGTGGGGACCGTGTGTACACGCGTGTGTCGAACCTAGGCGCGATAACGAACGGAAAGAAAACGTCTTTTCTCGGGTGACCGCGTGAAACCGTTGCTTCCTGGGTCCGAGGAACATTTCTCTTTAGCAAAAATAACCTCACGGCCGCGATAACTCGTTGCGAATATAACTGGTTCCGCCATTGAACCGAGTGGAAACGGAAGTGGCGATAAAACTCTCTCGTTGACACTCGATAGGTGTTTACTTTATCCCGGATAAACAATTCGCTCGAGCGGCCCTCTTTCTACTGAGATCGATCTACTTAGCGGGGAGAGATAGAGCTTGCTCTTCGAGTGTATATAATTCTATCTGGCCGTTCTCCAACACTTTTCTGCACCGATCTATTTTTACGTCGTTTAGACGTAGCTAGAGGTTCGAGTAACCCAGGCGTGTACATCTCGCGATACGCTGTCAGCAAAGTTGCGGATTCGCCGCGCGCGTTCAATTGCATAAAACCGTGGGAAGAGAGCGAACGTCAGCGTTACGGATGATTGTGACGCGAGAGAATCGTGATAACTTGTAGCTCCAGACGGATCAGTGGTACGCCACGAGTGAATCGCGATAACCTCCTCGTGTTTGTATATTCGTAACACGATAACGAGTGAATCTTACCTGTCAGACGTGCGAGAGCGTGCCGATTGACTTGTCGAGTGATCGACGCTTGATCCTGCTCGACCAGTCTTGGTCGTTGATCTTCGATCGTCGCGTTTATTTCGCGACGGAGAAAACTCTCGAGTGAACCTCGATCGATATTAACAATTGTTTAGATAGTTACGAGTGCATTTTTTCCTTCCTCTGACGAAAATCGTAATGTTTTTCTTTTTCTCTGTTTGCAGAAGAATAGTATGTATAAAGTACTTCACAATCAAGACATCAAACACGAGTGCTCGCGGTCAGGGGGACTGCACGCGTATCCTGATCACTTCAGGGAACCTAAAAAGCTCCACCTCTAAATCAGCCGTCTGCTAAATGATCATCTAAAGGTTCCTGTCCTCTGGTAGGACTCTGTAAATAGTGTACATATCGCTTTTCTAACAAAGGATCTCGCTCAGATAAGCACGAGCAAGCTCGACGGATCGAACAGTCACGCGGGGATTGATAAAAAAGGAGTCGAGAATACGAAACGTTTGCACTATTTCCAACCTTCCCATTACATCCGACGCACGTCACCATCTAGCTACGCACTACCATCAGGCAAATCAACGTGAACTAAAGAGTAACGTGTTGGAAAGAATAGAAAAAGCGAAAGATACGAGCACGATGAAGCAACAAGCGTCGGACGACTTCCCTTTATGGGTCAAGTTCCTTTCTGCAGGCACTGCAGCCTGCATCGCTGATTTAGCGACGTTTCCCTTGGACACCGCCAAAGTCAGAATGCAGGTGAGTATTAGAAATATGAAATTTTCATCGAAATGACAAAACCAGAAAAAGAAAAAAGAAGAGAAAATATAGACATTTGTTTTGAAACGTTGAACGTTCTGTTCTCACAGATGTACGGTGTGTAGTTGAGCCAGAGAGAATAATCGGAAGTGTTCCGAGTGTCGTTTTACAAATGTCTAGGTGTAGGTTTATTCTGTTACAAGCGTGAGCAATTTTATGCACGATTTCTAGATCGCTGGAGAAAGTCGTCCTATCCTGCTGGCGACAGCGGACGGCTCGATGCTCGCTGTACGAAACACTCAGCCAGGATTATGGAGGACAGTAGGGAACATCATCAGACTCGAAGGAGCAAGGTACGTTATTCACGATCCTATCTGTATTTTAAGACGAACAAGGGGTAGGTAAAAAAGAAAAAAAAAAGAAATATATATATATATATACATACGATTACGATTACGATATAATATTTGTACATAGATACCGTTTCGTTTCTTTTTTTTTTTTGGCGTGTCATTACGATTCTTCCGATTCGGATCGAGGTTTACAAAATAGTATACATACATATTATACGTTTAGTACGATACACGTTACGCCGGGCAAATTTTTCACGCCCTCTCGAAAATATTCGATTGTTTGAATTGTAGAGTAAGAGAAAAAAAAAAGAAAAAAAGAATAAAAAATTAATTCCGTATCTACTGGCTGATCGTAATAGGGCTGTCCGTTTGAAGTAACTTGAACTAAACGCTTATAGAAATTGAAGAAAAGCCGCACGTTTAACTCTCTCTCGGATGTAGCTTCTTTGGTTACTGTACGAATAATACCGTGAATTTCTCCAATTCTCGTGCACGTGACCACGCGATAT